CTCAGAGTGTAGCTTTATAATACCTAACAGTAAATGACTGTAATTTATAGTTATAGTAATATTCGACTGGAGTTAATAACCAATCTTACTTACTCGAGCCTTCGAACAGAATGAATCCGAAATTCATGCGTACCTGTCCCTTCTTATACTTGAAAATTGGACATAGGAAGTGGTAGAATACACGCTTGCTACCAGTCAGAGTCGAATATCGTAATCCTCGAATACCAACGTAATTAATGTTAATGTAATCTTTGCTCGAATCGAAATTTTCCGATTCGAAATATAAGACGTTGCGTGTAATAATGACGAACTTAACAAAGGCATGTTTTGGGAGAAACGTGTTTTAACACTAGTACTACCGAGCCCATCAAAATGACTGATACCAGATTTTTTATTTTAAAATTATTACAATCCTAGCAACTTTTTTTTGGAATTTATGTTAACCTTTAATTTCTTAAACACTTTATATTATAGTATACTAAGCTATATTACATTATACATATGTATATTACACGTATTAATATATTACACAATTTAACTTAGCATATATTCAATGCTTGTAGTTGTAATGTTAAATGTTTTCCATAACAACGAACTCAACAAAAAGTTCTTGTACCTCATTAATTATTTTTTCGCTTTTTAAAAATATTAGCAATAATCAATGTACTTATAAGATAATTTATTTTTTAATAATCGTTAATAATTATTAATTGACAATCGTAATACAAGAATGACGATCGGATAGAACTGGAAGGGGCAATACGGCAGAATGGGGAGTTCGGCTTTCGTCTCTATTACCGGCACTGTGAACGCTCAAGTGTTTTTCATTTTCTACAATACCTTATTTTACACTAGGAACGGAGGGAGAACTCATCAAATATAGCCATGGATACATGTGACGGCTATCGTAAATCCAGTTGGTGAAATAAAAATTTTGTTACAAAATGTTGTATAGCCTTAGGCCGCGTACTCACCAAGCGAGCGAGCACGAGCGAGCATTCGTCAAGACCAAGCGAACACGTCCTTCTTTTGATGTACCGACACGAATCCGATCATTTAGCGGTACACACGAAACGAGCACCGAGTGAGAATGCGCGCTCGCTCCTTTCGCTCGTGCTCGCTCGCTTGGTGAGTATGCGGCTTTATACGCTTCAGATCGAAGACATAAGGGTCAAAAATGGTGACACGGAAAATTGATGTGGTAGTTTCTTTAGTAAGTAACGCGAGAAACGTGAAAAATCGCAGGCATTCAGCGGTCCTGACCTACATTGAAACGAAGTTGGTTGTAGGGTCGCCGCAATTCGGCCTCGACTGCCCCATTGAATGAGCATTTGCGATGCAAGGTCACCGATTGGTGCCCACCTAATCTAGATTGGACTAGGACGATTCACGTGATGTGTCGAAGGTGGATCCGATTCTAGGAAAGCCGCCCAATAGAACGTGTCGAGTTAGCGCAGACGCACTAACGGCACTCCTTCCTTGCGCGACTCCCGCCGAATCAAATCTACTAGCGGCGCTAGCCTGCGCGCGCACCTCTCTTACTTTACCATCTCGGCTGCCTATTGGCCTTGCTCCTATCGTCCCTCTCTCTTTCTCTCTCTCTCTCTCTCTCTCTCTCTCTCTCTCTCTCTCTTTTATTATTATCTATATAGTCTACGTCGGACAATTTTCTTCTTCACCATCGCCTCAAATAGTTCGTCATTTTCCACTTGTTCGATGTCACCCTCATTTTGCCACCTTTTTCGACTTTGGACAATTCTGCAGTAATCGTTTTTTCCTTTGATAACGTGGCTCGCATTAACTTTTTGAAGTACAGGATTTTGCAACGAAAAATACCTTGTTCCAGAGGCATCTTTTTTTGGCAAAAATATGATAAAATAGATTTATTTTAATAATTTTTGTTTTTAGTAATTTCACGTCCCACCATACAGGTTCATGCACTAAAAAAGTGAAACATTTTTCATATCACTAGGCTTCAAAAAGTTATACTGTCTCGCAAGAACCTTCAGAATGTATAATTGTTATTCCTATATTGTGGGACATTGTTTTCGCGAACGTAGCTACGAGTTGTATCTACATATTTAAAAGCGTAAGAATAAACAGGTTTATGTAGATAAAACTGTTCGATAAAATTTAATACCTGTCACGTTTTGCCTGCTGGTTTTGTGCATTCGTGTGCGAATGCAACTGAACAAACATTTAGTAAAGAATAAATATAAAATGACAGATTTAATAAAGATTCGTAACTATTTTATTTTGTACTTTAACTAATGAAATCATTAGTATAGAAAATAAATTTCTGTAAAGCATCACGTTATAAACATGTGAATTTGATGAAAACGGAAATTTGAATATATGCGTGAAGAGTTCATATATGTATGCATAAATAACTGGAAGCAATTGTTAAAAACCTGAAATTCTAATAGATTAACCGACAAATGATTTCATTATTGCACAGCACATATGATATAGTTATGCACGCATTTTAACACCTTAACACTAGAATTTTATTTTGAAAATGTGTTATTCTTCGATTTCTTTATTTTAAAAAACGAAATATGTTTTTCAATTTTTCTAACAAAAATTGTTTTATTTTTTCACATAACAAGTATAGTCGCCCTTACCAAAAAACTGGTAATTTCCCCGTGACGAGTGTACTCGTCAAACATCGTTGAAGGATTAAATCATGTCTAATCATAGAAGAATCCAAAGGTATAAGCCAAAGTGCTAGACCAATGTTCAAATCGAGTTTTTCCTTTATTGAATAATTAAACTCAATGATTAAACACTTTTACTCCAAAAAAAATATAACTGCATCTTATAACAAAGAAGCCCGTTATGTTTTTAAATCAACGTATGCCAACTTTGTTACAATATATTGAAAAAGATTGTAAGAGATATGTAATCTCTAATATTTACTAGGGAAAATTATCGAACTTCGCCTACTCGTTCAAGCAGCTTGATCTATAACATTCAAAATTGAAGGAAAGTATAAGAGATAATCTTTACGATTGACCAGACAAAAATCGTAGAAACTTCGACTACCATAATTTGGGTTAATTGTAACTCAGTCTGGGATAACTTTGTCCCAGATCAGAAAATAATCATTTTCGATTTTGCAATTCCGTAAATTGTTAAATCAACTTTATTTTTACGGGAAAAAAATTTCACGTAAAAGTTCCTACAAAACAGCTGCAAAGTCGAAAATGATACTTTTCTGACTTCGGGACAAAGTTACCCTGACTGAGTCAAAATTACCCCAACTTATACTCGTTCTAGGAGCCCATAACAGACAAACAGTTGGTAATTATGCAGTTTAGCGGCTTTTCTCAATTTTAGCTATAAATATGTCGAAAACTAATCCGAATTGGTACTAACATGTGCAGAAAAAAGTTGTTCAAAATTTCGAGTTCTATAAAATATCCAAAGGTCATTGAAATCGGTATTGAGTAAATGACTCCGAATAAGTTCCCACGCTTTGTTTAACAAAACACAAGAAAAGTAAGTACATTACTTTTTTAACAACCCCCGTTTGATTTTTCGTTTTAGTGGTAAAATGAAGCTGTTTAAAGAAAAAACCCGTAGGAAAATAGTGTGTACATATATGCAAGATGCAATGTACATACAGTAATATCTCGATGAATGCTACGTACTCGGGTCCGTTTCGGAGCATTCGTAGCAAGGCGGAAATGTTTTCAGTCCCTCATAAATTAGTTTTTTTTTGCACGAAGCCGATCTGCTTAGCTTCTGTTTATTTTGTTCTGATTGGTTTCAAAAGGGAATCTCAAAAGCAATCACTCTGTAGTAGTAGCAGTTGTTTACAAATATCTCGGGAAGTACATATTCGGCCTCCCCTATAAGATATTTAATCTATTTTATAAATAGATAAAATGAAGAAAACCCGCCAAAACGCATAATTAACAAGAATTCCTTCAATTCTGATTTATCGTCCTATCGATTTTGGACGTCACCGCTCACTCTTGTTCAACGCAAGTATTTCTATCGCGCGGACCGTATAACCGAAGGAACAAACAAGGAAGAGAAGCGAAGAACGAAAAACGTAGGTTAGCAGTGCATACACGTAAGAACCGTAGGAAGAAGAAAGAGAATCGTCCACCCCGTTTGACGGGAGAGGGCAGGTAAAGAAACCGAGCTCGCCCCACCAGCCCGATGTTTCACGTGGTCTAAAGTTAGTCGCGTGCGAGCGCGGGGTAGGCGTGGTCTCAGGTAGCGGTGAGAGAGATACGCGCGACGAAGCTCCGGTGAGAGTGTGGTGGCCGCAGGTGAGAAGAGAGAAACCCGAGGAGAGCACCGGTAAACGGGCCGAGCTACCGGTAGACTGCGACGCGCACTCCACGCGAGACCGTGCGTGTACCCTCCTCGGCCAGACCGAGGTCAGTCAGGGTCCTGCTCTTAGACAGGACACTCCGAGAGAGCATCTCTTCCTGAGGCTCGAGGCATCCGAACAGCTGTCAGCGTTACCTACCGTTACTTCGTTCAGCATTTAGCCCACCCTATCCTCGGCCTCGTTCGTTGTTTGACGATTTCTTTCGGATCTAATCGAACTGTAACGTCGTCACACGGATCGAACCGCAAGGATCGATCGCACCCCCCCTCCACCGCACCCCCGGGAACCGTTTTACGTTTGGGTGACGAGTGTCCCCGTGGATCACACAGTTTCGCCAAAATATTCTGCTGCGTCCTCCCGCCCCCCTGATCTCTATCGATCCGGAGCAACGAACCGAACGGGTTTCCGACACGTGTGCCCCGGGGACCGAGGCTACTCTGCCCGCGACCTTGGTGAACCACGTGGAGAGAAGCACGATCCTGGGACCTCTAGTCCAGTGAACGGACAACATTGAACCGATCTTAATCGGTCGGGACCCTGTATACCTATGTGGAATTGATAACATTGTGCTGAAAAGTGCGCGTTTTGTACCACACCACGGAAAACTCAGGGATCTAGTGCCACGAAGACAACTCGTACACGTTCCAGTGGAATTACGTTTCCTCTCTATGAACAGTCGGAAGCTATAGCATCCTCGATCGATCAACGAGTTGGACGCAATGTGCGGTGAGTTTTATTGTCTCTTTGTTTGATCCACCTTTCGTGTGTTGTAAATAGACTGCTGACTTTATGCATTTGTGGAATACCCGATTGTCGAAAATTTCATGTGGGAAAAAGTTTCACGACGTTTATTTAAGGCTTCTTTATATTTCGAACCTATTACAACCCTTAACAAGGTAAATGAATTTTTTTTTGCGTCCATTCGAGAAGTTAGTCCATGAATATTTGCATAAACATCCGTACCGTAGTCTAGTTATAAACGAGACAAAGATATACACATGACGCGAGACACCTTCCTTTTATCGCGCATTGAGGTACGCAATCGGAAATTTTCTCGGTTGGTAACAATTCTAGACATTTTATCAGAGTCCATTGCATTAGGATTCACCTGCATGCAGGCGAGTTTTCTGTTAATTTTAACTTATCGAATTTAATAGCTTTTAGAATTTGATTTATTAGTTAATAGATATGAATGCTAGTTCCTCTTAAATATAAAGTGTTACAATCTCTTCAATTTTAGTATATCATAGTTACATCTCCTGATTTTTTTCATTCTTTTATCGATACATTATAAAATTTGCATTAACTGTTACATACACGGTGGTAGTGTCACCAGATCTTTTATAAGATCTCGCAAACACAGTTGTTTAATATTGCCTAAAGTCGCCAAAGTGCTGTTAAGAATATTTCAAAGGCGCTGTTAACGCCGGATTTTTTACATTCAAGTACTTTCTTTAGTATGACACATTAAAAAAATAGACATATATAAAATATTATACACATAGGTTTATGTTTCCGTAAATCGTCTAAATCGACTCAGGTATGGTTATACATATACATATATGCATATAACATGCTAAGGATATAGCGCATCTCTAATGTTTACATTAGATGCTGTTTTACTGCATCGCGATCGTGAAGATTCGCGCATAGTTGTGCAGTAGTTCGCCCGATAGTCACTCGCTCAGCGGTCGTGATGTCGTACAATATTTATTTTTGAAAGTGGCTTTTGTGTAAATTGTTGAATACATTTTAGTTATGAATAAGTTATAGAATAAGACTACCTCAAAAAATGCAATTTTTTGTTTCTTTTCCTATTTAATTACGTATTCTTTTATTTAAACAATACATTAAAAAAGTTATAAACTTAATATGTAATTAATTTTAATTAAAGTAACAAAAAATATCACTTTTGTTGCGATTTTTTTCCATTTATGGAAAAGGAGTACGTAAACCAAATTTTTATACTAACGAAAAAAGGCAAATATTATCTTCAAACCATGACCTCTATTTTCGGAACGTTTGAAGGACATGTTACTACACCTTTAAAAAGAAAATTGGTTTTAATTGCATTGCTTAAAAACTTTAAAGTCGATTTTCTCGAAACAGCGATTTGACGTACATATGTGCCCTTTTTCTATCAATGGCCTCAATTGCAAAGAAAATAATACAGTTATCAGCTCCTACGTGTACGTAACGTGAACATTTAAAATTGTCATGACATCGAAGTAGAAGAATACGTATACAAGCCTGTAATGTTTATTATTGTAGTATACCAACTCTTACAATTTTCATGACTATTATTTATGCACATTATTATCAGTGTATAAACGGAATATTTGATATTCCTCGTCGTAGATCCATAAATTTTCAGATTTTTCGAGGCGGGTATGATTCAAACGGATATAATAAGGATTCCGCTTCATCGTTCTGTTATTTTCCGTACAAATGACTCGAAAATTTTCTTTACGCGACGAACGTGTTTGGACAATCTGTTCCGCCGTGTCAGATTTCAGCGAACAGCTGTTCTCATTATCATTCGAAAATCTTTTAATATCCCGGGCCCGGAATTGTTCATTAAGAGAAAGAGAGGAGATCGTTGACTGTCATTTATGTCGACACTTGTTTACACAATTTCAATCGTCCATTTGGTGGCTATGACGTCGCATCCTCCGTCCGATCGATTTCGATTCACAATCGTTCCCAAGATTTCGAGCGAAGGCGTTTTGTAACTGTTGCTTTCATAACTGGCGTGTAAATAACGTTTCATTCAATCGATCTTCTTCGTCCTTCGAAATGTTGATACCTCTACAATCGGATTATAAATCACTTTAGTTATACAGTTGTATCTTTAACATTAATTCGAAATCATAAGAAATAAAAAATAACTTTCTGGTACTTTTAACATGTGATTTCTGTGAACACTGATCGTCGACTACGATTGAAAAAAATGTTGTACCAAAACATTTTTGTTGCTTTCTTGCTTTATTGAATTAACGCTTTCGTTTCCACTGTAGCCATGTGACTACGTATTTTAAATTACGAAAGAAAATGTTAATATCATGTATGTATGTATTTTTTCATATCTGTGAGTACGTAATAGTTTCTTCTAAACTTGTACAGATGGTATGGCACAAGTTTGAACGTGCACTAAAAAGTTTGAAATTAAAATAAGACATTAATGGTCCTTTGTCTGTTTTATTTGATGGAATTCAAGTGTCGAGCTATTTATTATACGTTCCAAATCCAATAGAAACTTTACAAAACTTTAATTTTTATTAAGTATTTTAATAAGATTTAGTGTAATATTCCGAAAAATATAATAAAATATATCTTTGCTAATTTTGAAATAAGTTGGGAATGAAAGTGTTAAACGATTAGAATGTTAAATCCTACTGAGAAATACTTACGCCACGAAATACTAACACACATCAGGTATATCAAATCAGTTAATACACTAAAATCGCTTTATCGATGACGTTACTTCGTATCGGTATGTCTGCGCGAATTCTTCCAAAGTTTGACATCACGTCACGATCAGCTGTCGTATTATTCGCCGTAAATGGTAGATACACGGTTCATTATACGTTAAATTACAAGCACACACTCAACAGTTCCATTCGTACAAAAAGAAACAGCAGGTTTTTCGTGAAATAATGTAAACGACGTTAAACTTGACGATAAATAACGGTCGGTGATTGACATCAAACTCGGGCGCGTTATGTTTCGCTATCTATGCTAAACGAGTACGACTTACACGTATATCTTACATAGTCATGTTTGTACATCGCATTACAGATTTATTCAAACAACGAGCCACGATTATTAGCCTACGTCTACGTATGCGTAGGTGCGCTCGTTATTGGTTGCCAGAAAGCCTTCGGCATGGAATATTAGCATTTTCTTATAATATTGTTTAGCTGACTCATTCTATAATTGGAATTTCTGGATCTTTTCGTGTGCGCACGAAAATCCACTTATTAAACACCACAAATACGAAATTGGGATTTGAGGGGGAGTGCCACTTTGGACGCATGAAAATGATAGGTTTATTTAGAAATTTTTTTCTTTTAAATAATGCTCTCAATAGGAAGTCTTATAATACGAAAATAATAAATATTTTTTTATATCTATATGAAGTGCCGTCGCACCTATGACAACCCCAGCACCTGTACACACAGAGAACGTCCGTTTTATGTCCAGTTTATATCCGAATGTCCTACGTCCATTTTAGACATCCCTAACATGTTCGTAAGACTTAAATTTCGCATGTTCTAGGACTGTCCGTTTCTTAAGTTTTGCGAATGTTCCTATGTACGATTTAAATTTCGGATGGTTTCGCTTAGTAATTTTGGCTCAATGTCATTCCGTGCAAGATGATTGAACTCCATAAGCAAGGTGTCATTCTTTGGACAATCAATAGAGAAGTGTAACAACACTACATAGTGGTTTTGTGAGAAAATCCCAGGAAATTTGAAAAACAATGTTGTTCTTAAACTATCTATAACCAACACAGAATCAGTAGTTTGCTTTGAGTAAGTAGTTTTTTTAAATTGTCTCCAACCAACGCAGAATTAGTATTTTTCTTTGAATCAGTGATTTTTTTTCTTTAACTGTCTCTAATCAACACACAATCAGTATTTTACTTTGAAAATAAAAATAAACACAATGTACACACAGATTATAAACCCCAAACCTATATTTTCATTATAATTCCGTATAAGACATTTAACCTTTTACTTCTTAACAGGAACTTCTTGATCTAATTTCTACTAAGTGCGGAAATCACAGGAAAGCTAACCTTTTATTTATTACACACAAATCAACCTAACCTAACTTCTATCATTTTGCACAGAGTAAAATCTAACCGTAATTTTAAACATTTGGGAAATGTTTATTATACATATATGCTTTTTAAGACATTACCATTGCATTTTTAAAAACTCTTTAAATGTTTCCAAAAAGTACAGAGAATGTTACTTTTATATATTCGGAAAACATTCTGAGAATGTTGACACAGTACTTCGTAAATAAGACCTTCCTAGGACATTTAAGGATCTTACCGAGGACGTAGGAGGGACATGTGAACCTTTCCGGGAGATCCTCCGAAAGACATATGACTTATCCGTACTATTTGGGCAACGTTTCGTGGTACTGTGATAATTTTTCTTAAAACCTAAACTGTGTATAAAAATGCAGAAAATGAAAATTTTTGGTGTTTTATTCTAAGACCGACCAGATCGGAGAAATGCTCAATGCCGATTGGTGAGTCAATTTTAACACTATACCTACGATAACCGGTCAAATGACCGGTTTTGCCGTTCCCAATTCTGTCTTTTTGATGGGTTCGGTAGGTTTAGTGTTGAAGGATGCACCAGGCAATGGCTCTAGCCCTGCGGTTTATTGAAGAAAAGAATAAACTGAAATAACAAGAGTTTCTATCAAGTTTATTATTTAAAAGAAAAGAATTGCTGAATAAACCCATCATTTTCATGCGTCCAAAGCGGCAATCCCCTTAGTTGAAGAGACAACGGTTCAACTTATTTTTATTCTCGAATACTTGGTTGTAAAAAGTTCAGAATATGGAAGTTCTTACTGGCCTTTCGCTGTGTTACAGCTCATTAGAAACAACGCACGGTGAACAATTACTACATCTGTTTCACCGAACACGATCAGATGAAACTTCTGCCTTCTGCGTCTCGAACGACCGCACGCACGTGTATTTTATGATATATAATTCAGGGTTCTCGTCCGAGGGAGGAGCGCGCGTTTGTGATTTTCTCTATAAATCTGATAGCTGCGCCTATCTGTGACTTACAGGAATAATGCATTAATGTGCGCTCGGTTTTAAATACAGTGGAAATTTATGTTTTAAAGCGGACTACGGCGTGTTTGACACGTGTAACGTCCTTGGTTGTCTTTCCTTTGAATTTCATCGAAACAGCAATGTCTCATTTGCAAAGTTTATAATCTACATTTTTTAATTTTTTGTTTAGTCTGTGATAACAATCGAAGATCTTTTATTTCATTCACTTCGAACAGTATTTCAATTTCAATGTAAACCGTTTTTTACGACATTAAATATAATGCATTTCCCTAACAATGAACCATCATGCAAATTAGTTAATTTGCAAAAACTGAAATTAAATGAAAATATAATTCTTCTGTTAGGAGCATTAGGCTGCTGTACAAGTTCCGTACGCTACTTTGTTAGTTGTATATTATGCGCAGAAAATAATGCTGTTCGTTTCAAAGATCAGTCTATAAATGTTTCGTCTGCGAAATTTAATGACTTTCATTGTATATACGCATGTAACATTGAAGACAAATGTCGTGTTATACAGTTAAATTTCTATTTGACGCGTTGTTACGACGGATCACAACTGTTGCAGCAACCTACATATGTAATACGCGTATTAGTAAAGTTTATTCTCTTTTATGTACAAGTAACCCCTGTATAGCACGATGATTAGATTCCAAAGAATGTCCATGTTACGGAAATTCGTGTTACACGAAACAGAATTGGGGATTATCTAGACAAAAAAATATTTACACGACGAATTAAACAAAAGATACTTTATCTTCGTGATTCGAAATTTTTATTTAAATAAAGATTTTGTCATCTCTGATACGAAACTAAGAACTAGTATGTACATACATAGAAACTGTAGGGTTAAGTTGTAAAAATGAACAAGACTACACTATTCTACACAATTCTCTAACCGTGTTAAGCTGGGACTACACCCATAGCATAACGCGTAACATGTATAGCAAGGTTATACAAATTAGTAGAAAAACAAACAAAAAAATGTTATACAACATGTTACATAATGTTACATAACAGTTTTCGTGTTATATAGCAAAATATATATTATCCACCAAGTATGATGTCATTTATTATGCTTGGCTTGTTTAAAAAGTACCATCTTGTAACAAGTTATAAAAACATGTTATACATAGAGATATCGAAATCTTCGCGAAATGAGATTGCCATTTTGTTTTACGAAGTCATACTGCGAAGATGACCATATTTCGGAGTAAAATAAAGTGTTCCTTATTGAATTCCAGAATTTTATTTTAGTATTTGATTCTATATTATTCGATTGCGCTTGTTTTCGAAACATTGTTTTTTAAATAACTAATGGAGAATCTGAATTTCGAGATACGTGCAAACAACTAATTTTCAACAAAACTCGATTGGAAAACAAGTGACCACCTTACAGCCCTTCAGACTTTATGCTCTTGTTGAAGAAGACAACAATTAAGGGGTAATTCACTAGGAATCACCTAAAGCTGTAAAACAGGCTGTTGTAAACTGGTTCGGTTCAAAAGGATGCTTTCGTCTACAGGCAAGATTTAGAAAAGTGGAAATGTAGCAAAAATGCATTGAGAGTGTAGGATCACATGTGGAAAAATAAATCTCCTCTGATTCCTAATTCTGTCCTTTCTTAAAACTTTTCGCGAAGTTTTTGATATCCTCGCGTATTGGAGATCCTGAATATTATCATACATATGAAAGAAGAATGTCATTCCGTGAATTTTGTTTATTAGAAACGGTACCACGGACCTGGTACATGAAACCAGAACTACACTGCACCGGCGTCGCTGTTCCGGCGGGTGCGCTGTCACCCTCTGCCACACTTTCACCGCCAAGCAGTCCGAGCGTGACACTGCCGCCTTCACCCTGGAGTCCTGGCGCAGCAGGAAACTGCTCGAGCACCACGACATCCTCGAATCCGTCCTCGATCTGTTCTCCGGCCCTCAATCAGCCGGGATCGGATCGATTCAGTGCGTTCACTCTAGTCTCGGCGTATAATCCTGAGTCGAGACTTCAAACCTTGCCACCGACGACCACCAGCAACTCAACGCGAGGTAATGTGCTTCCATATACACAATGCATACTTACTAGGGTGGTTCTTATATGGACCAGAAATATTTCTCTTCAAAATTTCATTGTGTCACCAATTGAAAATGACTGTACCTCAAGAAACTGTTACAGTATTTTTTAATATTTTGTAACGAAATTTTAGGGGTGTACTACCACTTATAGAAAATAGACATTTAGAATGAAAGAACCATATTACATAAACAAGTTAAACTTTTTATTTTAAGAAATGATCATACTTATTGATACATTACATTAACAAAAGAGGCACTTCTAAAAGAAAATAGGTAGGGTTAACCAACTATGTAATAATTGATCGCATACCAGTGAATGACCATTAAGCAGAGAAATGTAAGTTATAGATTTAAAATTATTCAATGTTTATAAATGGAGTGTAGTTGCATTTTTAATATCCCATATTTTTAGTTTAGAGTATCCAGCAAACCTTTATAAGTACAATTCTTATTAAGAATATTTCAGAAATGTAGCATCTAGTCATTTACTAGGCTTTTACATGTTTCGTGCACTTTATAAGTAATTTTTTGAAATTACGGTAAGTGTAAGCAATTAGTTTTAGAAAAATTTCATGAAAAATAAATGTATTGCAATTTGAACAGCTGTTTTGTTGTTATAAATAAATATTATACATTCAAGTATTAATCTCAAACGTCCATAAATTCAACAATTCGATCATTCACTAACTGCTTGGTTTGCCCGATTAAAGTTCATCAATGCTACTCCTCGCTCCGCTATATCGTTTATAACTCTCATGGAGTGAACAACTGCCTTGCTTGTTCTGTAATCTTCATAATTGTTTCAAATTCAAACCGTTGACAACGAGCACTTGCCAGACCACGGCAATGCCTTTCCAGTCGTGACCATGTTCACAATACAATTATATTATTCGTTAAACATTGTTCAGAAATTACAACTATCCTGATGTTTTTTAAAATATGAACATTTCGGTACCCAGTAGCGACCTCGAAACGCTATCCGAATTTAAAAAAAAAATTACATACACTCACCTTTTAGATGTGAGAACTAAATAACAAGATAATCCGATTTAATTTTAAGACTTCGATTTTAGGAACCACCCTATAATACCTACTCTTACAAAGAGAGTGCACATCCTTTGGGACTAAACCGATTTAGTTCAGACTTTGCAGACTGGTAGACGTCAACATTCTGTTTACGAAAATACCTCGCTATATAGGGTCAGATACTCAAAAACTTTTGAGATAATCATGATTGAAGTTTTAATACTCCGTTGGAAATACAGTTTAGTGAAAGTTGATAGCAAGTACCAATGAGGTGTGAGGGTAGCGTATTAGATAACCACGCAGAGAACCTCACTGGATCAGCCGTTGTGAGTGGGATCCTTCTATCAGAGCTGGTGATCGTGCGAAAATATTGGGCTGCAATTCCGAAATGTTCCACCCTTCGATTTTCATGAAACTTGGTAAAATCGTTCCGAATAGTCCGAAATGAACGTAGGTATGTAAAAGATTTTTTGGCGCAACTGAAAATTAACTGAGATAACGCTAAAACAATGAGGTAATTATTCATTGTCATAACAGGTATGTTAATATCGTGATAACAATACATAAAGCGTGTTTTGTATCGCGTTTTGTGAGTGGGTTGCATATAATTGGTTTGGTACAGTTTTAAAATAAATGATTGCAGTACTACAAGACGTTCTATGTCATGACTTCAGATACAAGGTGAGAGTGGGTCGTTCTACATGCTACGGCACTTCGTGTGTCTAACATATGAAGGTATATTTATTATTTTAGTGCTATCTTAGTTAATTTTCAATTGCGCCCAAAACCTTTGATACATGTTCATTTGAGAGCATTTGGGGCGCTTTTGCCAAGTTCCATGAAAATCAGAAGATGGACCTTTTTAGAACTACATACGAAAATTGTAGCACCAATTAAGCCTACGTGAACTAATTTATAAGTGATAATTGGACTGCGAATTTTATACACATAACAGTTTTCTAGGAACTATTTTGCACAAATACAAATTGGTTGTTCCATTACGAATTTTGTCAAGTGAGGATACAGTATAGGTCTCAAAAAATTAATTAATAGTGGATCTACCAGTATTAAATGCTGATACATTAAATACATTGTACAGTATATGAACCGTTCAGAAGCCAAAGTGACTAACTCCACTTTTTGAATTTTTCCAAATTTTCGCGTCACAGCACTTACTTGGTGTTTGACGCTCAAATAATTTTCCTTGATATTTTTTGTGGAGTTTATTACATTAACAATTGAACAATTTAATGTGTATAACATATCGTATATGCAATACCATACATGTAACATAGTATAGCATTAGGTTGCTGCAAAAGTTCTGACTCTTAAAAATACATATTATACATACATATATAAAAAATAGTAGTATTTGTTCGGTCAGTTTTTTTGTGCGTATTAGACCCTTTTGACTTCAATATTTCAAAAACATGGTAGACAGAATTTAAGTATCAACCTAATATAACATAAAAAATATCGTAAGTTAAAGGCCACAATAAATTCCGTCGAAGCACTTCTTTTACAATCTCAGTAAGTATGAAATAATGAATCCAAAATCTGTTATTTCGTCGAGTTTGATAGTTCTAGTTTTAAACTTTTGACAATATGTACGGATAATTTTGTACACTATGAATGCATAAAATCCACAATCTAGTTATAATGTTATTCTCGTTTAATGTCTAAATATATGCAAATATAAGGAAGGGCCATTTATTAATAAAATTTAGTTCTGGTTTTAATCATTCTAATAACAACATTGATTTACTCGGACGTAAAACAACGTTTGATTTTCGTTCTATACATATAGCTGTTACAAGTCTTCTCGGAGGGAGGAACGCGGAAGAATATGTATTGTTGATAGGTCGGCGAACCGAAATTTTGGTGGGTTTTAGAACTACGGTGCGGTCTAATGTACGGGGGTTACGGGTCGACGGGAGCTACCTGGTGGACTCGTCTCCTGCTACCCCATTCCCTGCTGCCAACCTCGAGGATTCCCAGCCAACACACCACACCAGTTACAAATTGTTCGTCTATTCATTTGGAACCTCTTAGTCCGTCCAGAGCTGGCTCACCTCGCGGATGTACACCGGAAAAGGCTAAATTCGGTAAGAATCTCAATCAAAATGACAATCTTTAAATATCTACAGCAGGGATCCTAACCGTAACCGAAACCGGGTTTGGTTCTCTGTGCTGTCCGGTAACCCGCACAGTCGGGTAACCCGCAGGCATCGAAGCACAGGGTAACCCGGTTAAACCGGGTTAAAAAAAAAAAAAAAAAAAAAAGGGATCCTAACCGCTGCCTAACCTGGACCGTAACCCGGGTTACCCAGAGACGGTTCCTGTAATCCGTAGTAACGATGAAGGAGCGGGTTACTAAGTACAGCAGAGAGTGACACAAAATGTGACTGTAATATATGTCGTAATAATTTTATAAAATTTCGGAATGTAACTTATTTATTAACGATAAAAATAATATTTCTGATTTGAATGAAAATAGTATGTAGGTAAGTGTAGAAACGAAAACACAGTATTTAAAAAATACGACCATGCAATATACTAGTATACAAATTAAATACTAAACATATATAATACAAAACAAATATATACAAAATATACACAGTAATTATAAAAATAAACAAAGCACACACGCACCACACATACATACATATACACATATGTATATATACATATGTATACATTATCTATCCAACCTCGTTGGTCCTGACGACCATATTGTCGTCTAAAATATCATTATTTAATCTGGATCTTTGATCGTTTAATATAAATTTTAGACCGGAAAATAGACGTTCGACAGAAACTTTGGTTGCTAGAACTGCATGTACAATGTTTGCAAGCTCCGGCTCTCTGCTATACTTAGTAACCCGCTCCTTCATCGTTACTACGGGTTACAGGAATCGTCTCTGGGTAACCCGGGTTACGGTTAGGCAGCGATTAGGATCCCTGATCTACAGTCATACAATACTATACTGACAATGTGTATGCAATTTTCCATTTACATAGATTATATTACAAAAACTTGATTAATCCTTTATCGGTGTTTGACGAGTATCCTCGTCTTGTAAAAAAAGTCGAATACCTTTTGTTATTAAAATTGAAATAAAATTGAAAAATATACTATTTCTTTTATTAGAATAAAGGAATCAAACGGATACACATTTTAAAAACAAAGTTCCACCGTTAAAAGGTTAAGAACATGGCTTCTGAAGTGTGAATGTAATAAAAGCTTATCATAATCCGTAATAGATGCTTACCATAATTACATAATAAAAACTCACTGATCTTTGTTGAACTTCTTCTTTCATTGTGCCTTACAGATTTTTTTATATCATAAGTACCTACATAAAATTCACAGTATATGTTAACAATGACAGTTATCACCACAATTCCAAACATAGAATTTTGATTAATTTTATTTTATATTACTATTTATATATTATTTATTTTTTTATTAGCTAATTCGTCAGGGTTTATTTAATCAGACCCATGCTAGTGATCCATTGAGGTAGAAGATTACGTATTTAGGATAAATAATACTCTCATATCGTTATGAACATATAAAGGGTGTTTCGTTTAACTGAAAACCGTGGAGTATCTCACAAAGGATTGAAGTTATAAAGAAAATGTTCGTACAAAAGTTGTTCGGTATAAAGTGGGACATTGCGTGGTGCAAATAATTTTTCTTGACGTGTACTACTGAAGGAGATATCAAAGTGAAAATAATGTTGTTAAATGGAATCCTGTATTTCTTTGTTTATAACATGATAGCGTTTGGTGATACGAATGCAACGATCTGCCACATGATACCATCTAGTACTATGAAACACACTGTACGTGCTATTAGAGTATATTATATATGGAACATTAGCATTCTGTGTTTTTTGTTTTAATAGCAAAGAATTATTCCATTTTCCTGGTAGTTTAGTTTCCTGATTATCGGCTGTCAGTGTTTACGTGTAATCGTTATCAGCGAGAAAACAGTAGATCTCGCTGAAACAAGTACGAATCCTTTTCACGTCGACTAAACGTTTTCGATTTTGATAATTATCACCGATTACGTGACCAACTTTTTCTGCGGTCTGCAGAACGATAACAAATTAGGTTCGCGTCACGATAACAAAGAAGGGATACTTTAGAATATACGTATTTACAAAAAACGGGTTGGAATTTCCACGTTCAGTTTGAAAGAATATTGAGAATTTTTTTTGCAACTGTGCCATGGGCGACAATTTTGATGGATTTGTTTAATGAATTTCTTTTATTTATGAAATATTTCAGAAGAAGATGCGCCATTGAATCTGAGTACCAAACCCAGCGACGTTTTGTCGAGTGCAGAACGTAAAAGTAAAATTTGGTCACCGGGAACGGTTTGCGAGAGAGAAGCGAAGGAAACTAGAGTACCGTCCTCGAGGAGTCCGTCTGTGACACCTGTTATCACCCGGCAAATCGATCACTCGCCATTGACACCTCCCTCTTCGTCCGAAAGAACGTTTCAGGTAAGTCGCCAACATGTGTATTCTTGAAACACTTGCAATTCATCCAAATTCAATACAAATACAGCTAATTTGAAAAATTATGAAAGAGGTCTGTAAAGTAGAATAGTTTTCAAACTATTATGTTACTGGCAAGCAATATTAAAAACGGATTAATGTGATCTCTACAGAAATTGTCTACGTACACATTAAAGGTAGAGAACTATATCGTGTATAGGTACACAAAAGAAATGGAAAAATTGATTGTATTTGACCAAGAAAACGACAAAACCTACATATGTAGGTGTCTGTGTATGAAATTTAGAAAAATGTGATGCTCACTGAAATATCAAAATGACAGAAAACTGTGTACAGAATATTGCAAATTGTACGTTATTGAATATAGTCTTCAATCAATTATTTTAGCTTCTGATTAAGCATGTCGTAGATAAAGAAAAATATTTATGTTTAAATTAATATCTCATTTCATTTTCTTCAATATCAGTGACAAATAATTGATTTTTAATAGCGACATTTAGTTTCTTCGGTGAAAAAAAGCAACAATATAAAAGAAAGTACGCAGAATTACACGGGGAAATATTACACCGAACCGCGAAGTAAAAAGTCAGCGAATCGGTTTTCGGAGAACCCTGCATAGATATCGCTCGAAGAATTCTGAACCGTCGAAAATAAACAACTAGAAATCGCTTTTTCCCGTTCGTTCTGAACTTTACGAGCGTCCTAGGACACTCGTTCCGTGCGTTTACTGGCTCGACATCATCGACGAGCCCATAAACGACACCGTGATCAACTGGAGTCATACTCCGGTAACACCGATTTAATACTTGGCACTCTTTCCAATCAACTCGAAAAAAAAAACATTTTTGGCAGTAAATGTATCGATCCGTGGACGTTAACGGTTATACAATCACGCTGTGTGCCGCCTTGTCTTAATCACAGTCATTTAGGTTGCAGCGACTTGGACATCGTTCTCGAAACGGAGAAATCCGTGGTAGCCACGATCAGTTAGGATTGTCGTTCGACGAATAAACGCTCTGAAATACCGGTTCGATAAATTATTGGGTTGTCCCATAAGTCCTTGCCGGGTTCGTAGCTTTTAGAACATTTTCGTCTTTAAGGGGTCATGCTCAGTCAGGAGGCCGAAACAAGAGTGTTCTTTAGGAATTTTTTTCTCGAAAACTATAAGACCTTTTTCAAAAAATGTGTTTGTGTTTTAAAGATTGCAGTTTCAAGATTATAAGGTAATTTTTTTATTTAAAGATATTTATTAGTAAATAAATGGTGAGTGATCTCCCGGATGTCTCTTCACAAAAAGTGGTCTGCCGTGATCACTGTAACTTCGTAACCGTTCATCTGAAATTAAAAATTCAGTAAGATTTATGTAATGGAAGAACCAATCTTGTCCTTGAACGTGGGGTTTTTCGAAATATTGATTTGGAACAAAATAGCGGACGTTTTCCTGAAAAAGTGCGATTTTCACCTAAACAATCACTCGTTTTTGGTCAATTAAAAAATAAGTATGCAACGAACAAAAGAATCCTCCGTTCAAGAACAAGTTTTTCTGATTTGAAATAAGGCGCAAAAGGCTTCATGTAAATTGACACAGTAGTTTTCGAGAAATATTGATCACCGATTTGAAAAATGTAGTTTCGAGAAAGACTCGTTTAAAGTTTCAAATCAAGCTTACACTTATATAAAATGTTCATTTTTTAACGCCTGTAACTCTGTCATGTTTCATTGGATTACCTTGAAACTTGCACAGGATATTCTCGAGATGTTGTACTTAAAGAAAATGTAGAAAGTGAAAAATCGATTTTTTGAAAATTTCTGACTGAGCATGACCTCTTAAACGACATCAGCAGGGCAAAGAGGTTTGACAATTATATCACCCTTAAAAAGTATATTGGTGACCTTTCTTGTAACCCAGTCCCGATCTGTCTGGGAGAAACGCATTCAGAACTTGCCGATCAGATAGCTGAATGTTATTGATACTGGCGGTGATTATATCATAAAATAGAAATTAAGTTTTCATAAATAGAAAATAAAAATAAAATGGTAGAAAATGGCAAGGGTTTATGGAACAGCTCAATATATCGATTCACTCCCTTTTTATGAATTAAGATATGTATACGAACTGTACACAGTACATACAGTACTTTTTATGGCGAGTTCCCGTAACAGTTGAATCGCCCTTATAAAATTGACTAAAAAGAATCTGGAAACGTTCAGCAAGCTTAACATTAGAACTACCGAAGATGAATGTGGTTCTATTTCTATTACGTTGGTAAAACAGGCAGTATGTTGGAAGAAAACATTAAAAAATTTTGTTTAACAAGTAGTTACACACCTTAAATATACGCAAATCGATAAATTAGCGAAATGCTTCACTTATATATTGCAATAAAAGTTGAAAAGAATATCAGTAAGTACACTGTTATGACATTTTAATCATTTTTATAAGGGCTTACGAATCAGTCATTTCGACTGCTTTGGTAGTTCTAGTGTTAACCCTTAACTACTGACGACTCGTCTTATTGTTAGAGACGAGTCTAAATCACTGTTGCCAGTTTTTTTAGGAGATTCTCGCAAACACAATTGTTTAAAATCGCAATAGTACCATAAAAAATTTTTGAAAATGCTGTTAACGAGGGATTTCTAAAGTGCGGTACTTATTTTCGTATGACGCATTTAAAAAATAGACATATAAAAAGAAGTATACTGCAAAATACGGTTGAGTCGGTTGTTAAAAGTGTTGCGAATCAGTTATTGTCGGATTATTCATGTAGTCAAAGATTAACATATTTGCGTCAGGGCTCTTATCGCCTGTAACCTGATTGTACTCCTGTTTATGGGATGTACACCAATAGTTAGAGATCGGTAGTCAATACAACGTTTATGGTGACATCTCTTTTCAACGAATCGTCCATAGAATGATCCACACCTTTCCGTCCCTGCCTTTGACGTCGATCGATGTCATTGGGCGCGAAGGTGTTTAACACGTTTACCGACGTGGTGGGTTGGAGAAAAACGTCCAACATAAGCCATGTTTTGTTTTCTTCTATTTTAATGTGTGTCACGTATGTGTGACGGGCTCTCAAAACAGAATCAGTGCGGCGTCACACAGTACCGGATAAAATTATAAAAACTTGACCGTAATACGTAGATAATTCTTTGATGATCAATTTCTTTAGCATTTTCTGTATTAATTAACGAAAGGTATGGCTTTTATTAACTCTCCGTAGGCAATATTTGTCGTTGATTGACAGAGGAAAAATTTCATTTTCCCTCGACTGTTCACTGAATATTTATGTATCTTTATTAAACAAAGTTTTCCACATTTGACTCAACGAATGACTGTATAATGTAGTAGAGAGTTTGGTGAAAATATTTAAAAAATTAGGCTGGGACATTAACGACCCAGTTTACCTATAGAGTATGAAAAAATATACTTGCCTACGAAGGGTTAATACTTTACCAACTATGAGGGGGTTCAAATAGAACCATCGCTTAGGTTGGACCACTACTGCAACTTGTCAAGTATAAGCTTACACATAACAAGTTACAGTATCGATCCTATAGTAGCCTCCAACTTAGGCGATGGTCGAAATTCGGCAATCTTCCCCTACATCTATGAGATTCACTGTATCCTTACTTCCATCATTTCCACCTGTCTCGTGACAAAAAAAATAAAGCTGTTACCGCGTCTTGAGAAACATTGTTTCATACACATCACGCGATTACTCTCTAAATGGCGTCGCCATTGACCGTAATGGCCGGGACCAAGGCCGCGGGTTTATTGAAAGGCGTGTACGGACGAGGGCTAATAAATGTCCCGTCCCATTCTGCAAAAGACGGATCCGTCCGTCCGTCGTTCTCGTGGGATCCCCGGGGTTTCCGTCAGATCGAATATTTGCATATACGAAGAGAAATCCAACGCGTCGTGGTCACGCGATGGGTGTTTCGCGGTGGCGCAAGTGCCCCCCTAAAGTTTGTACCGTGTAGCGTTCGAAGAAGACGAAGGGGGTCAAGCGTTTGACGAATGTCGGAACTCGACAAAAGACGGCGGGCGCAATTACGGTGAGGCTGATTGAATGGAAGTAGAAACTCGGCCCGGACACAGTTTTACGCGAGACACACGTAACAGCCCGGTGGACATATTAGGATAACTGGGGCACACGCGCGTCACACGATCCTGATTCCGACCGACAAAAGCTCCTTCGATCCTCGCCACACGCCCCAGGGCTCCATCGAACTCTTTCCGTTGCTGGTCCCTCAAAATTTGTCTTGTGTCATCATCATTCGTGTATCTTCCCGACCGATAGGAAACTCTCGTCGAATAACGACGAGTCCAGGGGGACACGGAAACCGCGCGATTGCCACTTTGGGTAGACTTATTTTCACCGAACCGAGACGATGCACGGTGGTGCCTTTCTTCAAAATTCGTAACTATATTCGATTTTCATGAAAATCGGTGTACTTATGTTTTGGAGGTGGCCGAATTCGAATATCTTGTCAGAAATGCAAAATTTACCACGAATGATCGAATACCACTGGCATAAATGTTGTTTTTAACTCTGGAATTATCAAACAAGTCAATATATGACTTGTCAGTACATTCTTGTAGCGATGATTGAAATTTCATAACAATTGATTTTCGCAGACCTTTTGCAACTTTTATTACGATATGAAAGTGAAGAAATTAGTCAATTTATACATTTGTAAATTTTCAAAAGTTTGTCATGTTTATTGACCGATCGAAATAGATATGCATTTATCATTGGTAGTTCTTGTGTTAAATTAATATGTGTGGAAATTAATAATTTTCTGATGTTCGCCTAAAATTATGTAATTAACATGTCGAATTTAATACGGTAACCTTAATTTCAAAACATTTTTGAAATTATTTACTGTGAACATTTTTTTTCGATTTTCATGAAAAATTCAACATTTCTATATTTAGTAGGTTACGTAGTTCAGATATGTATACTGTTAAATATAGTAAT